CTCGGCAGGCGGCCTCCTCTATACAAATCTCCACTCTTGCGAGTTCAGTGCCTTGAGTTTATGGAGCATAATGCGGCCTGTGAAGTCCCACGCTATAGGATTGCGGTATTACATTTACAGGCATTTATTTAAACTGACACTTGAAGCATTTGAGTGGGAGCAGGAAGCGAAATTCAAGGGCATTTGTTCTGGGGGAGTTTGAAGAGCCACATTTCCTTCTTTTTTTTTTTTTTTTTTTCCCCCTTCCCTCTCCCTCCTCATGTCTGGCCAGATAATTTAAGGATCATTTGAAGTGCCATTTCCTGCTGAGTTCTTGATATGTATGGTGTGTGGGTGTCTGTATTTGTATCCCAAGAGGAGCAGGGAATTTCTCAGGGTGTGCTGGCCACAGCAGAGCTCTGGGGACACCCTCACAGAGCGGGGAGTTTGCAGAGGACCGACCGGTGGTGAGGTTCATGTACCCCGATGTCCCAGCCGGCTCTGCGGTCCGTGTTAGCATTCTGGGTAGAGGGTCTCTGCGAATGGATCTCAGGTGACCACCTCATACAGTTTCCTCTGTTCACAGATGAGAAACTGAAAGACAGAGACGGGAGGTGACATGTCCTCAGTGAGATCATGGCTTGGAGATGGAAGTAGATTCTGGGTCCTGCCCACGGCTTAGTGCACCCTGCCCGGCACTGTCGCTCCGCTGCCTCCCGGGACCTGCTGAGTTATTACCAGCAACTCCCCCATTTTGCCACCTCCTAGGAATAAGTTTTCTTTGTTCCTGAAATCAACGTCTTTGACTTACCATGTCGTTGGAGCCAAAAACCGCAGGCAGGAGAAGCAATGGTCTTGGGAGCACATTCTAGGGTCCCAGCCTTTGGCCATCCAAATTGACAAATAGAAGTTTTGATCTCTCCTTTTGGGACCTTCGTTGCTTTGTGACTTGAGAGGTTTCCTCTTCAGTTAGCGCAGGAGCTGGCTACAGTCGCACCTCTGGATGCGGTCAGCACCATCTGGCTGCTCCTAAATCACCCAGCAATAATGTCTGGTTCACAATAAATCTTTGGGCTCATTATAGAGAGGGTTTGCTCATTCATTAAATGAATTAGGATTAGAGAGGCATCACCCACTGACTTGAGTGCTAATTATTGCTGATTTTCATGGTGCTCATTTAGTGAGGAGCACGTTGCCAATTTCTCCTGGTGCTTCTGGGATCTCAGCCTCCACCCTGGCCGCCGGGGTGAGATTTAGGAGTGGTCCCTGCACACCCTAATACCTGTATTCCACTCGCACTGTGAAACCTGAGCGTTTATGACTCAGCCCACTTTCTGCATTTTATCTCCTGCCACCTCTTCTCTGGCCTTTGTTCATTGTCTAGAATTATTGAAACTGCCTGTGTATCTTAAAAACTTTTTTTTTTTTTTTTAGAACAGGGGCCATGTTCGAGTCACCAGTTGCTATAATTGTGCTGTGTAACAAACAGCCTCAAAAACCTCAGCAGCAAACCATAGCTGTTTATTTCACGTGTCTAGAGTCCATGGGGAATGGTTCTCCTGATCGTGGCTGGGCTTGCTTGCACATTTTTGGGTTGACTAGCTGTCAGCGAGGCAGGCCTCAAGCTGGGGCAACTGAGGGGACCTGGCCCTGCTCCACGTGTCTCTCGCCCTCCAGCGGGCCAGCCTGGGCACGCCCCTCTCATGGGGATGGTGGAGGTGCAAGAGAGAGCAAGCCGAAACAGGCAGACTCTCTGAAGGCTGGGAATACCATTCTCTCCACCTCACTTTGTTGACCATAACGAGTTCAGATCCATGGGATAAGGAGATAGACCCTGCTTCTTCTGGGAGAGGAACTGCAAAATTACAGGGTGACGGGTGGAAGCCATTAACGCAATCCCTCCACCAAGGACCCATATAATTTGCCTCTTCTTTGTACTTAGGCTGAAGCTCTGCAAACAGTGAGTGCCTAATAACTATCCGATGCATGAAATTCATAAGTAAAGTTAACATTAGCTAGGTTTTCTAATCCAGGTTGAGTTGGCTGAGTGATGCAGACACTCGCTGGTTTATCTGTTAGAAGGGTCCTGGTGGGATCCGAATTTTTCCTGCATTGGTTGCCAAGAAGTCCCTCTTCTTGTTTGCTTTCCCATCGTGCTTTCCCATCGTCATTTTCAGGATTTTAGACTATAAACATCCAAGAGACAAAGGGAAGAGCTACTGCCAGACTGAAGTGCATCTCTTGCTCCCGGAAGAGAAATTTGTTTCCTGTATTGAGCACCGAGTGTATGCAAAGAGGAGGAGCGGCTCTGCCCAGTGTCTTTGACCTTTGCTCTTGTCTCCCATCCCGAGAGTAGCACCCAGAAAGTGGCCCACAGGCCAGACACGGCATCAGCGCTGCCGGGGGCTTGTTAGAAATGAAAAGCTCTCAGCGGAATCAGACGCACTGGGGGTCCGTGTTTTCACAAACCCTCCAGGCAATTGGAGAAACCCTGCCCCAACCCCGAGGCCATAGAGCTAACATTACAGCTCCCGCTGTTGACCCTCGGGGGTGGTGTGTGCATGGTGCACACCTCGGAGAATATGACAGAAATACATGTCCAGGACACCCTGGTGTTCAGACAAAGCTGGCCGTCCTCAGACATCTCACATCCATCTTACTTTCTCCTGCTTTGTCGTTCGCTTAGATGCACCACCTAGAATGTCAGGGCTGTGTTTCCAACCTGCCTTACGTTATCAGAAGGTACATCTCAAGGTCGGAACAAGTTTCTTCTCTCAAAACAGACTGGGCAGGTGCCAGGATGTGGGACAAAATATGCTGAGGTTCAGATACCTGCTCTCCTTCTCTCTCTCTCCAGGGATCCAGGGCCCCCATCTTTAGTACAAAGAAACCCGTAAGGCAGGGGAGGGCACTGTCAACCCACAAGAAATCGCAGTGCTGACCTTGAGAAGGAGAGTGGTAGTTTAGCCCTTGAGGATGCATTTCACAAGGGTGAGGGTTAGTGACCTGAGGTCAGAAGAACTTGTGTCCAGCCCCACACGGCTCTGTGTTCCTCCAGCACCTGAAATGCCTGGTCTGCGTGCTGAAGTGGGGTTCGTGTGTGTGTGTGTGTGTGTGTGTGTGTGTGTGTGTGTGTGTGTGTGAGAGAGAGAGAGACAGACAGACAGACAGACAAAGACATCAGACGCTCAGAGGTATCAGCTTGCTGGCTCCTGGATTGGATACCAGTTACCTTGACTGTGCCCCCCATTCCCCAGGACGGAGGGGAAGCACACAAGCACTTCTGTTTGATTCACACAGAACCGTGAGAACGGCCCCGTATGTGAGGCCGTGCTTTTCACTCTATTCAGTCAGTCTTTGTGTATTCAAATTCTTCCCGTTTCAGCTCTTGCTGTTCTGCCAGATTTCCATCGCATTGATGGCTTCTCTGAATTAATGTGTTTTGCAATCGCTGAAAAGTTTTCTCTCCCCCAAGCACCGGGGCTTATCCAGATTGGTTTTAACCCCCTTTCTCTTTCCTCTCTAGCTATTCCTTAGATGTTGTATTTTGTAAAGTGTTAATAGAATTTTTCTCTCGCCCTGACACTTTATCTATTCAGGCGTCTTTGCCAGTCCCATTGTCCAGCTGGACTACAGAGGAGAGAGCTCTATTCGTTCCAACAATGGTTGCCCTAAAAAATGTGCACAGCTCCTCCCCCTCGCTTACCAGGCTGAGCGAGCGTTGGAGGGCAGCGTCAGAAAATGCCCAGACTTAGAAAGAAAAAAGAGGGAGCCAATTACATACTGTTTGAAAAGGAGGTTTGAAAATATATTATTGTAAAAATTCAAAATATTTATTCCCTAAGGGGATCCTTGTTGCAGTACCAAAACATGGCCAACGTAGAAGGAAGGCTGTTTTTCTTACTGTTAGGCATTTTTAGCTCAAAATAAGGACTTGGCAAACATCTTAGCAAATACGGAGATGGGTGGGAAACAGATGTCACGTTTACCTGTGCGATACCCAGCAGTCCCCTCCCCCCTCCTTCTCTCTTCCCCGCCCCCCCCCTCGCACCCGCACCCCAGGCTTTGGAATTCTAATGGAGGCCTAGGGTCTGAATCTGCAACACCATATGCTCAAGTGTGACTACTCTGTGTACAAACAAACCAGTTGGTCTTCTGGTGGTTTTGCTTGAGTGGTGCTCAGGAGGCAGACGCTGTGTTGTGTGTGGCCTCAGCAGGCGCCTGGGAGGCTTACCGAGTCTCTGGCCCGAAAGGGGTCTGCTGATGGCACCCCGTCTCCAGCTAGCACCCCCTACCCCCATCAGCCTGATGCCCAGAGAGAGAGGGCGGCTCCCTGCTGGAGGAGCTCTCCCCACGAAAGGCCATTTTCCTCCCAGTGACTGACTTCAGAAATGGGGACCAGAAGGAGAAGGCCCCAGGAGCCTGTTTGTGCAGGCTCGGTTGCTTAGCAACAAAACGGGGCCCTGACTCCAGAAGAGATTTTTAAGTGAGGCCAGTCCCTCCGAGGTTTGTGCCTGGCTTGCCTACCCCCCTCTTCCATTCTTACCCTGACTTTGCTTTTCCCCCTATTATATTTGATAGCGTCTGGAAAAATGGATTTGATTTGTCTGGAGGCACCATTTTAAACCTGGTTTTATTGCTTTACCCAGTGTCTCTCCCCCCTTTCCCCCCATCAGAGACTGTAGTCTGGGAGGAGTAAGGAATGAATAACCTGTAATTTCTTTTCTCAGCCAGCTTAGCTCAGGCCCAAGCCCATTTGCGAGCCTTTGCGCTCCTGTGGACAGTGCTCAGTCCCTTCTAACCACAGGCACACACGGAAGTCGCTCCAGGCTCAGAGCCCGCTGCCCAACACGTGGTTGTGCTAAGTGGAAAGACTAAAAGACAAGTGATCTTTTTTCTGAGTTTCTGTATTTCCAAACAGTGTTTAATGAGCAGCTAGGACTTCTATCACGGAACCCACCCCCTTATAGAATATTTTGTTAAAATTCCTAAAATAGCTCTATCCTGTGTGTGTTTTGCAGGTGGAGGATGCAATGCTGATGTTCGATAAGACCACCAACAGGCACAGAGGTAAGACCCCCCCAGGGTATGAAGGTTGCCCCTCTCGCCTCAGTCCCACAGACAGAAGGTGCTCGGACTGTTCCAGAGTGAAGCAGATGGGCTTGACCATCTGTTGAAGATCAGTGTGAATGGAGGGCGACAAAGAGGCCAGATTCTAGACAGTCCAGACAACCGGTTCCTTCTGGCTTGGGCGCCGTCACTGCGTCGTGCAGCCGCACCCGGCGTCGTTCAGACCCCCCCCCCCCCCCCCCAGCCTGGCTTGCTCAGTCCTCACGGAACCTCAGCACCGAGCGATCCTAGTGGAAATCATTCGCAGTAATTACTCAATTGAGTTTCCAATTTGCATTAGAGGAGGTGGTTTAGAGCATACTGTCAATCTAGAGAGCCAAAAAAGAGAGGAGCCTTGCAGGCCGGTGCCCTGTGCCTCCGGAGCGTCTGGAGTGCAGCTGCGCTTGCATTTCCTCTTGTGCTCTCACTGCCCCACCCACGTCTCAGGAAGCGGGTCTCCACCTCGGCTCTGTGAGCCTGGGAACCACACACAGAATGCTTGGTGTTTGCGCTTTTCTTTGGGAGAGTACACCCCCAAGCTTTGGACAGATTCTCAAAGGGGGTCTCTGACCTCCATTTCCCCCCAAAGAACATGAGCTAAAAAACCCACCCCAGAGGAAGTAGGGTCAAAGGTTATGGTTCAGCGTTCTGTTCCAGTGTGTGTGTGTGGGGGGGGGGGGGCAAGGGGAGGGGGATTGGTTTCTATTAATAGGGCAAGATTCCTATTAACGGGGCGTTCATAAGCAGAGCTTCTGATGGCAGGAAGCAGGAAGCGGAGCTCTTGAGAGGAGCTGGAGTGAGTGAGCAGTGTTTCTTTGCCACTCGGATTGCATTTAGATGTTTCTTGTGTTGTTTACACTCTTGCTGTCACCTGTGATTAGAAGCAGTTACCCAGCTCTGACGGTCTGTCTCCTGTTCCGAGCAGGCAGGCTGAGTGAAAGGGAGGAAGGAGTGGGAATCGTCGCAGGCAGGGGCGGGAGCAGGCGACGGTGTCCTGAGTGCACCGGGTTGTCGGCCTCTCATGCATCATCCGCAGCGACCCCAAAAGGGAGAATGGAAAATTGGGCAGAAAACTGGTGTCAGCGGCATGTATGCTGGGAAGAACTGGGGAGGAGTGGAGGGTGAGGAGTAAGGGGAGGCAAGGAGAGAAAAGAAGAGCTTACAGGAGAAAATGTCTGCCTCTGTCCCCTGCATTGCTCAGGAGTGAGAGCCAGAGAGGGATTTACTCATCTGTAAAATGGGGATGATACTAGTACTACCTAAGGTATTGTTCATTTGTCAACTGTGCCTAAATGTTAGCTCTTATTATATTATCATCATCTCCATTTTGTTGAGATAACCAAAGCTCAAGAGGGTGTAACTGCCACTCCCAAGGTCAGAGCAGGCACTCACAGCTGCTTTCAAATCCTCTTTTTCGCCCTAACCGGTTTGGCTCAGTGGATAGAGCATCGGCCTGCAGACTCAAGAGTCCCAGGTTCGATTCCGGTCAAGGGCATGTACCTTGGTTGCGGACACATTCCCAGTAGGAAGTGTGCAGGAGGCAGCTGATCAATGTCTCTCGCTCATCAGTGTTTCTAACTCTCTATCCCTCTCCCTTCCTCTCTGTAAAAAAAATCAATAAAATATATTAAAAACAAAACAAAACAAAAAAACACACACAAATTCCCCTCTTTCTCTGTTGTCTCCACATGGGGATGGGTTTGTTTAAGAATGTGTTTATGTGTTTACATCCAGGGTGGGCGAGGCCCCTCTGCACGTGGCACTATCTAGTGCTGAGCATTAGAATCTGTCATCCTGGAAGATTCTCCAGTGGCTTCCAGGCGGTATTGTTGTCGTTCTTCTTTGAATGTCAATGAATGAAAAGGTATTTTTAATCTTCTGCTCTGGGTCAGGCCCTGGGCTGGAGGAGAAGATTAGTCCTCTCATCTCACCCTCAAAGATGTGCAGGGAAAGAGGTTTGTCCTCTGAGGAGTGCGGGGACTCTCAGTGGCCAGGAACTCAGGACATTGGGCTCCTGGGAGCCAGGAAATGCTCTCTCTTACTTCTGACTCCTGCTGTGGGCATCCCTGGATCCCTCTGTGACTGGGTGAGGGAGGCATTCCCTGTTGTGCAGTGGAGGAAGCCCCGTTCTATGGCCCAGTGCTCAGAGCAGGCCCTCCCAAGTCAGACTTCTGGTGGGCATGGCGGGTAGGGGGTGGGCAGAGACCCTGGAGCATGCATGGACCGGCCTGGCCTCCTCCTGCCCTGCCAGAGCTTCCAGTTCCCGTGGGAGATGCAAGACCCCTTCCTTCGTTATTGGAGCCAGAACAAAATGACAGGTGGGGTGTCTTAATCAATAATTATTAAGAATTTCAAGATGACAGCAGAGCATTCAACCCAAAATGGAGCCCTTCTGAACAGGGGCCCTGTGTGTGAATGCACAGATCACCCACCCATGAATGCATCGCCGGGGCCCAGCCTGATGCTGCTGGGGCGGGAGAGAAGAGGCAGGAGGGGAGGTATGCCTAGAAGTTTCACCAGGAAGGCCCTGACACACTGCGGAAGCCTGCTCCCCAGTTCCTCTGGGTCGGGGGGAGCTTGGCCCCTGAACCTTACCCATCCCCTTAACAGCTGAGGAGGAGTTTCTCCTTGAACTGAGGACTGAAGCTGGGGTGCTCCTTCAGTGATTCAGAGCAGTTAGGGGAGGAAAGAAACAGATTATGTGTATGGAGCCAGGGGGCCCAACCCCGGCCTGATGGGATGTGCGCTTGGAATCGGGTGATAAGCACAAGAAAATAAAATCCTCTGCAGCCACCTTGCCCAACCTTCCCTTCACCTCCTCAGCTTCCTGGTTGCCATGATCTTATCAAGTGGAAAATGCTGCAGCAGCAAACACCGAGGACACCTCCCAGACTGGTGCTGCCTCGGGCTGGCTTCTTAAAGAGCCAGGCCTTGAGTCTCTCTGATCGTCCCTGCACTGGCTCAGCCCACGCCCAACTCCTAACCGGACCTGCCAGGATGCCTGGGGCATTGGCTCGACCTGCACCCCAGGCATTCTGAAAGCCTGTGTCCTTGGAGCTGTGGCAGCTGCTGCCAGGGAAACTACCAGGGCCTGAGCCTGGCCTTGGTCAAGTGCAGCCGGCCACACTGCTATTGTGAGGCAGAGGTTCATGGCAGAATCTCCACTCCTCAGCCCACAGTGGCCTCCTTCCATCCCCGTTCCCTATTGGTCCTTTAAGGGTGAAGGTGGCCCTCAGTTACAACTGTAGTTTCTTCTGTCCCCATATTCCATCTGCACTGGGACCTGCTGGCACCATGGGAAAGGAGTCAGGGGACAGGAGACGGCGAGGCACCAGATGTGAGTCCTCTGCCCCGGAACAGGAAGAAGCTGGAGCTGCAGCTGGCTCACACAGCTCACTGCCCCTTGGTTGTCGTGGGGGATATTTCCCTAACCTCTGAGCACCTCAGGTTTCTGCTCTGGAAGCCTGGGAACTAGGGTGGAGGAGCTCAGGACCGAACGTATGCTTCCAGCATTTAGCTTTCTTATCTGAGAGACTGTCCAAGATAAATTCCTTTTTCTATTTTTATTTTCTTCCCTAGGGGAGGGAGGTGAGCAGGTGCAGGCTGTTCCCCCCAGAGAAGGATTAGCAGCAGCAGGAGTGTCCCTGGTGAGCAGCAGGCGGAGGGCGGCGCCCACCTGGGATGCTCTGGGGAATTCCCAAGGCAACTGTCCCCAGCTGGGGTGAGGGCCGGGCTTTGTACCTGCATGGTCATCAGGCATTGGATGCAGGCCACGCAGGTAAAGATGTGACCTTGGGCTTGTCCTGAGGAAATCCGGGAGGGGCAGACGGCCGGGGCCTACCTCCAGCAATGGGTGCTGAAGGGGGAACTGGGTCCCCTCCAGCACACACCGTGTGGTGTAGTGGGTTCTAAGTTAACTAGGCCAAGCACTTCCTGAGCTCCGAGGCACCAAGTACTCAGCACAGTGCCCGCATGCACTGTGGAGTCTCTGTAACAGTCGTAGGTGAGCGCAGCTGCCCGGGTCCCACTCTGGTCGGATGGAAGCCCAGCACCGGGCTAGGCAGTGGTTTAAGCAGGGGAGTTGCTGACTTTAAGGACTGGAGCACCTTCTCTTTACTAGTCCTTCTTCCCACCCACTCTTCTTTGTGCACTACAGCACACCTCCATTTCCAGATGGAGAAACTGAGGCACATAAAGTTCTAGATTGCCCAATAGGCTCTTATAGCCGGGCGGGAGCCGAGCCACTGGTAGAAGCTGGGGCCTTCCTCGGCCTCGCCCACCACCTTATATCCTGGCTCCCCTGGGACTCTGTCACAGGAGAGGGAGGGTGGTGGCTTTCAGATTTCTCGGTCATTTCATTTGCTCTCTAGAAGTTATTGGAAGTGGTCTGGAAGATATTGGGCTGATCATCATAGGATTTAATCATGGGGGGAAGTTGGTTGCTTTATCCTTGCAAAACTCAGATAAGATCGTGAATTCAGCATTGGTATTGATCCCAGAGTGGAGCTGGCAGGGCGGGCCTGGGAGGGAAGAAGCCACAAGCTGCTGTCCTTTCCAATTCCCTTTGGTTGGCAGAGACGGAGAGGTTGAGCCCAGAGGGAGGAAGAGCTGTGGTTCAGGGTTCTCTCCCCACGTCAGCCCTGTTTGAGAAGGTGGGGTGTGGAGAAGCCGGCTGCTAAAATAACATCTCACACTCACCTCCTTGTGGGGGGGGGGGGGAGGAGGGGAGGGAGCCCCCTCCAGGGGCATCATTCCAGGGGAGCCTCAGCTGTCCCTCCCCTTGGCCCCAGGGCCCGGGGACCATGAACCCCGCACCGCTGAGTGCCTCTATGTCTGGCTCATCAGGGGAGGCCCCGGGTGGTCAGGGGCCCATCAGAAAATGAGCTTGTGTCTCTGAAGCTTATCGGGTGCCTGGCGAGGGTCAGCTGGAGAGGGAGTGAGGACAGAAGGGTCGCGGCTTC